GGTATGACCCACAGGGGCCAAAATTTGGACAAAATCTCACTTATTTCTCTGGGTGTTGGGTACATAGGTCGAGGTGTCAAGTATGCACTTGAAAAAATTGTTATTCTTTATATTTTTATACATTTTATAAATATAATATATATTCCTATACCATAAAAATCAATATTTTTTATTACTCATTCTTTAATCTTTATATTTTGTTAATAATAGTTATTAATTAATATTTATTTCCGTGTATTTTGTATCGGTAGTGAACGTGGCTGTGATAACAATGAGGAACTTAGCATTGTTATCACTGATAACAACTTTGTTGTGTGTTATATGTGCTGCTAACTACAACAATAAAAACAAGAACCACGTGCCGAAAAATGATAACAACGACAATAAGAACCAGGCGCTGATAAACGATAACAACAAATATCAAGACAATTTTTATTTTGAATCGAAAAAATCTCGAGAAATCCAGAAATTCGAGAGGGAAAATTCAGGAGAAATTCAAGAATTTTCTGGAGCTGGAAATCTGGACGCCGCGCTGGAGGCCATGTGGTCCAACAGGTACGTCGGTACGTCGTTGGTACGTCGGTAGGTCATTGGTACGTCGGTAGGTCATTGGTACGTCGGTACGTCATTGGTACGTCGGTAGGTCATTGGTACGTCGGTACGTCATTGGTACGTTATTGGTACGTCGGTACGTCAATGGCACGTCGGTAGGTCATTGGCACGTTATTGGTACGTCGGTAGGTCATTGGTACGTCGGTAGGTCATTGGTACGTTGGTAGGTCATTGGTACGTCGGTACGTCATTGGTACGTCGGTAGGTCATTGGTACGTCGATACGTCATTGGTACGTTATTGGTACGTCGGTACGTCAATGGCACGTCGGTACGTCATTGGTACGTCGGTAGGTCATTGGTACGTTATTGGTACGTCGGTACGTCAATGGTACGTCGGTACGTCATTGGTACGTCGGTACGTCATCGGTACGTCGGTACGTCATTGGTACGTCGGTACGTCATTGGTACGTCGGTACGTCATTGGTGCATCGGTACGTCATTGGTACGTCAGTACGTCATGTTACGTCGTGCGTGCGTATCGTGCGCATGTTTCGCGTTCGCGTGTCATGCGCTCCACGCCCTGGATGGCGCACGCATGTGTGTGTTGAAAGCGGGTCACCGCATTCCATACAGAGCCTTCCCCTATACCAATCACATATCCCGGCTTATAATAATTATATGACACGTAATGTAATGGGTTGAGAGCTTTATAATTTTATTTCAGTATGCAATGCTATATATATTTAATATCTTGTTTCTGAATTAACATGTATTAAAAAATGGACAATTTTTGTAATGGTCAATTTGTCAATTATTGATAACTTCGCAACCGAATAAAGGAAAATCTTCTTTTGCAGAGCGTCACTGAAAATCGAAAAACCAAAAGAAAACCCCGTGCGCCAATTCAATGCTCCACACCTACTAGTTCCCATTGAAGAGCTAGCTGCGCCGCAATACAATGCTCCGCACAAACTAGTTCCCACTGAAGAGCCAGCTGCGCCGCAAGTGGAGTTAGGTGCTGTTCAAAATCCTCCTCCGATGTCAAAACAAGTAGTAAATTTTACATCATTTGAAGGCAATACTACGGCTGAAGAACTTAAACTTGGTAATGAGTTTTCAAAATTTCAACAGAACAACTTCCCAAATCCAGATAACGAGGATCCATTATTCAATATTCGATTTTCTTCAGAGTTAGAGTCAGAAAAAGATTTCAACCAGATTTTACTCGAACGGCATTTTGACCAGATCATCGGTACTCCTTTTCCCATCCGAAATTACCTGGTGACGCCTGTCATTTTCAAACAAGACGCGACCCAATCTGGCATAAATTTTTATCCAACCGAGAATACATTCACCCAATTTAACCAGAATGATCGTGATGTCCCATCACAGCAGATTCTTCCATTCATAGACCCAGCAATTCACACAGATAGTTTTTCAGTAAATGTGTTGGTGCCCGAACTCTGGCCCAATGGGTTCGGGACGCGAGGTTTAAATGATTCTTTACTATTGGTGAACCAAATTCCCTCTGCGGTCTACGACGAAAAAAACAATGGAAGTCCCGAAACCGGTCCTTTCCGGAATACACTGGATCGGAACTTTGATCAAAATTTAGTAAACACTCAAGCTGTAAGGGAGGATCTGGCAAGCCAACATCCAGAGATGTATTCTTCTCCTACCGGAATTGGTTTTGATGAAAAAGAAACCAGTATACGACGAGATGGTCGACATCATACTTCGGATCTCCAGGATCCGGGTTTTGTGTCACCGAGTTTCGTGCATCTTGGGATGTTTCCACAGTTGTCGTCCCCACTACCCTTGCCTACCGGAGTGTTCAACCCAATTGTCCATTTTCAGAATCCTCGATCCCGATTCGCATCAATTCAGTCACATTATCAACAACCACAAATACCTGAACCTTCTCCGTCCCAATCATTTAACATTCAACACCCCCGTTCACCCTCTTCCCCCCTTTTGTCCCCGCCACAATCCCTTTTCAGCCCGGGCGCCGCACCCCCGCAACGCTCCCTGTTCACCCCGGACACCGCTCATCCGCCCGGCTCCCGGTTCAACCCGGGCGCCGTCCCCATGTCACAATCCCTTTTCACCCCGGGCGCCGCCATCTCACCAGAATCCCTTTTCTCCCCGGGCGCCGCACCCCCGCCACGCTCCCTGTTCACCCCGAACGCTGCCCCCCCGCCACGTTCATCCATCTCCCGCACCCTGGGCGCCGTGCTGGGCGCCATGCCGAACTTCGAGACGGCCGTGACGGCGATGGCCTTCGTGGCCTTCGTGGTGTTCGTGGGTAGCCTGGTTGCCACGGCCGTGTCCACGGTGCGTGTATTTTGTTACGATTCAGTGGTAATTCATTATATTTTGTAATGATTCTCATCATAAATCTTAGTGCAGGACCACGTACACGAATATTTCAGGTGTTCACGACCCGATTGCTTATTACGTATGCTCTGTAATAAATTTGTAAGTTAGTTTGTGCGCGTATCTCTTCATCATTCACTGCATATTTTCTTACATTCATTCATTCATTCATTCGTAGGCTGTATATTCATTCGTACGTGTTAGGAATGAGCGTGATTCATGTGTAATATGTTAGGGGGCATAGGATGTATTGTATACTGCAAAGTACACACGGTATGTATGTGTACGTACAGCTCATATGTGTATGCACGCAGACATCCCACACCGCGGGTACATTCGCTGCATTGGATCAAAGTTCAGTTCCTGACCTCTTTGTTGTAGATCCTGAGGTCATTTTTTGTTTGCCGCCACGTACGAGAACTTTAAAATGTTCTCTGCTGCGTACAAACGTCCTCAGGTTGCTACACTCAATACTTTACGTATAAATTTAAGTTGAGAGTTATGTTCCTGGGGCCATACTTTCAAAAGTCGCTAAGTGAACGTAAGTACTTACGCTCTATTTTCTTGTCTCTGATTGGTGGATTTGGCTTGAAAGGCCGTCAATGATTGGCTGATGAACTTACGATCTCTTAACTTTTTCGAAAGTATGGAACCTGGAGAGTGACATACGGCGGTAGAGGTTAAGAGGTCGCATGTTCAGCTACATCTTTTCCTTTATATTTATCTGTGCATTTTTTTCAGTCATTTGGATTTCACTCAAAGCTTTAAGCATTAATTCCGCTATCTTAATTTGGTACTCAAATTTTAAGATAGTGTAATCTTATTGATTCGACTCATCTGTAATCAGATAAATCGATAAATTTATCACTAAGAATACATATAACAAGTGAAATCCATAAAATCACCAAGGTATCATTGATCGAATTTCATAACTAGATGTGTTAGAGACATAAACTTTTCCATGATTTAACATCATCCATACCTGTACGTAACTCCATTTATATATTTCCCTTAACACGTTTACAGGGGTCAACTGCGATAGGAAGAGAAGACCGTATTTTTTTGGAAAGCCACCTGCCGCCCGAAACTCTCTTCATTCTCGACTACATCGAAACACTAGTTAACAAAAACCTCAAAGTTAAACATAATCAAGCTGATCCTTCAGAACGAAAAAGGGATCCAACCATGTTGGAGCAGGATGGCATCGACCAAATCCTATCGACCGAACGCCGCGGTGACTCATCGACAGGATCTGGCTCAAACCGGTTCAGCAGCGCTGATACAGGCGGGCAAAATGGCGTGTCGGGATCCGGCTCAAACCGGTTCAGCAGCTCTGACGCAGACGGCGAAAATGGCGCGTCAGGATCCAGTTCAAACCGGTTCAGCTTCAACAGCGCTGATACAGGCGGGGAAGCTGGCGCGTCAGGAGCCGGTTCAAACCGGTTCAGAAGCTCTTATACTAGCGTAGGAAATAACGTGTCGGGAAATAGGGTGAAAATTGTAGATGATAACGACAAAGTAGGATACGATGTGGATATAAATGAAGATTCAACAGGGTTCGAGCGTTTCAACGAATTTGAAGAGTTGCTCAGACCTTCTAGTAAAGAGAAACAAGTTTTGTTCAATTTCTACAATAAATTCAGGGTCGGAAACTTAGACCTAGAAGTCGAGGAAAACAATGTTGATTCTTGGGATAGATTTGACAACAACGGAGGAGATTTAGCCGATGTTACTTTCGACAGCAACGTAGATAAAATGGACTTAATACATCGAGTTGCTCTCACTCTTGGAGACTCAGATGCAAACCAAAGGACTAGAAAAAAAGAAACTTCAGTTTTCCAAGAAAACAAACTTGAGAAACTAAATAACGGATACCAACGAACACCAAGTTACAGGTTTTCACATTTACCAAGCTACACGAAAATAATTTCGCAAGGTTTAACCAAAAACCTTGAACCTCTGGCATCAAGTTTTGGTGGACCAGAAGAACCTGGCTACCCAGATGACACTTTTACGCGCAATGGGTTAGCAGACTCAGGTTCTACAAACGCCTTTTTCAAAGACCAAAATTCATTGGAAAAACATCGGAACCAAATAAAAAATCGAGAATTACTGGTGGATTTGGAAAAAAATCGGCAAGAAGAGAAGGAGGCTGCGCAAGAAACGAAGAGTTCTGGTTCGTTTTTGGGCGGATTAGGCGTAGGGGTCCAGATGGCGGAATCCATTTTCGAAAGTCTCCAAGACGTCACCAGGTTCGTGAGTTTGATGTCTTTTGTTTATAATGAAGCAATTTAATGTTGTGGTGTCGGCCTTAATTAGGCCTTATTAGCCTGCATTTAAGTCTTGACTGACCGATTTTGTGCAGAATTTTCACAGCTAGCTGTGGTTGACAAACCCTCAACTCGCTAGCTGCTCATAAATTGCTATAAACACCCGATAGCTAATAACCTGAGATTAATACGTATTAAGATCACTTGACTGCTTAAATCGTAAATTCATTATAAATTTAAAAACAAACAAAATTGTCAAGCGTTCCAAATTTTTTTCTTATATAAAGAAATGATAAATTTTGTGGCTATGTTTTTTGCTTTTAAATTCTTATTGCGATTATTTCGAATTGTGACCTCTTGCAAATTACTAATTTTCCGTGAATCGTTATAAGTGGATAAAGTGAATAAAGATTCCAGAATTTGCCATCCGACATTTATTGAAAAATTATTTGTTTTTATTTATAGAAATGCATTAATCCATACCTGATTCATTTTTATTGTTAGTCCCTTATTAAAATTAATTAATTATTAATTTTATTACTTTAAATTTAATACCTATTAAAATATTGTTTATTATTAAAACTATTGTAAACCATCTGATTGAATATCAATGATTCTTTTTTGGAGCGAACAAACGTTAATTAATGATGACCGTGACGTTTTAATCAGAGCTTCCTCAATATTGAATGATAGTTGATAGTATATCTCTACTTATACATATGCTACTGAATGATAACAATCCTATAGGCTGATAATGATCTGATACTCTCTGTTTCATGATAGTAATGATGGCCTGATAACTTAAATATCAATAGTTCCTTTTTGTTGAATGATTCAAGTCGGGATGATTTGATTTTAAATATTTTCTCTTCGTTGAATGACTTTTTACCCTCTACCACCTGACACGAGTAACCGGGGCAATATTGTCACGCGCCTACTTCCTAAAAAGGATACGTTCTAGTGAGCACAAAATGACTTGCACTGATGGTTGCCGCCACGTACGACAACTTTAAAATGTTCTCTGTTACGTACAAACGTCCTCAGGTTGCTATACTCAATATTTTACGTATAATTTATGTTGAAAGTTACTTTAAAATATTCTCTGTTGCGTACAAACGTCCTCAGGTTGCTACACTCAATAGTTTACTTATAATTTAAGTCGAAAGTTTTAATCCCGGAGAGTGACATACGGCGGTATATAGAGGGTTAAGTCCAATAGAATATAATTTCCAATCTCGTCAACAGGAACATTTTCCTTCAAGTTCAGGACAGCGTCGTGGGTTGGATGCTTCCGGGTCTGATATCTTCCTCTCATGGAGGCCCTTCGTCGCCAGGCCCTTCGTCGACGAAGGACTCGAGGGGAAATCCTACAACTCCTTCCCCTGGAGTGAGGAAGGATCCTTCTGCCCCGAAGGATCCATCCTCCAGCGAAAAATTACATAATAAAGAAGACATTTGTCCATCCATTGTCCGCAAACGAAGTCTCTGCCTAAAAGGCGTCGAAACTGCACGACTCGTCGAATCTGATAGAAACTTGCGGATGTTGCCGCTGTGGACGTGAGTAGAACTAATGAGAACCGAAGAGAACTAATGAGAACCAATGAGATGAGAACCAATTAGAACCATGAACCAATGAGATCATTACTCACATGTCTACTGGCATTACTCACATGTCTACTGGCGTTACTCATGTCTACTGGCATTACTCACATGTCTACTGGCATTACTCACATGTCTACTACATTACTCACATGTCTACTGGCATTACTCACATGTCTACTGGCAATATCCACACATTTTGGCCCCCTCATTTAAATTTTATACATATATAAGTTCAACGGATCACCGTTTAGTCTCTGCTGGCCTAATCTCTGTCAATATATTCGGTGTTAATCGTGATCAAAATTTCTTATTATCACCTTTAAATGTACTAATCGTAATGATCAATTATCGGAATCTTTTCTGCAGGTTCGGCATTGGATGGCTGATTGGCCTGATGCCGATGCGGGCGCTGCTGGAGGACCTCTATGCCAGAGCCATCGGCCAACAAGGAGATGCCGAAGAATGTGATGCCATTTTTCCGGAATGTTTTCAGCCTCAGGAACCAAATACCCTTTTCCCGGCGCGGTCCCAACTCCGGCAGAGGGAAGAACTTGTCGTTGGTTCAGAATATGGGCCGGATATTTTGGTGCCTGGAGTTCCGCTGAGTCAGGAAATGGTAGAAACCCAAGTTGATTCCAAGACTAGCGGAAATTTTTTGTTTTCCAAACAGTCGGAGCTCCAGGAACGGGCAGGACTCGGACGAGTTCCCACTTCGGACATCCACGAGGATGGCAAATTTCCTAAGTGGGTCAAGATCGAAATTCACGATTCCGAGTCTGCCACTCAAGAGGAATCCAGTAGTACTTATGAAGAACTATTGAGTAATGAGACCCAGAAAAAGATCACGAGTGCAATCAGCATCTCTGATTTGAAAGACGAAGAACCAGGAAACGAAACTTTGGTTCAGGATTTACTTTTCTTGGAATCAAAACTTCCAGTTTCTGAGTCGCCTATTTACGTTCCCAAGGACTCAATCCCACTGAAACCCACAATTATGTTAAGAAAACACAAAGTAACACACGAAAAACCTTTAGAACATTCGTTTCCGCAGAGCAAACGTGGAGTATCACCGTCGCCGTCGACAGAACTAACTTCCGGAGCGACGCCATCTTGGACAAAAAAGCATTCCATACAAACGCCATCTTGGATTGACCACCATTTTGAGATGACGTCTTTTGGAACAGGGCAAAATACATCAGTAAGTCCTACAACAAACAATGTTACATTATTGAAAGAATTTAAAGACTACTTCGCTCGTCTATCCCATATTTTCTCGAATCCTAATTCGTCTTCTGCTGCTCAGTCTGATTGGAGTCATGTCACCGGCGACGCTTGGCTTAGAAAACGAAGAAGTTTCTTTGACCTGCATGAAATTATTGAAGGGAGACTAAAATAAACCACGTCGTATAATTTTTCTTCAAAGGCTACTGTTTCGGTTACCGCGATTTTCCACCAAATAAAGAAATTCAAATTTATTTGATTTAAGTAAGAAAAATATATGTAAGAAATTTTTGAAGTTTCTCATGCACTCTCATCCTAATACACAACTTATTGCCTCTCATGGTGGGAACAAATTTTTTAAAATTAATTGTAGAATTTCCGATGATGATGATACAAAATATAATTTTAAAACGAGTTTGCAATACATTATTTTATTTACTTATTTTTAAATTTTCATGAAGTAATAATTTTTCAAACTTCTGTAATTAATCTAATTATTGCTAATTGCTACTAGCACAAATTTGAATTTTGAATAATTTTTTTCTCAAATTTTGTTACATCAGAAGCATTTTAAAATTTTGAATGCTAATCAAATTTACTTAGTCTAATTATTTGTTGTAGCAATCTCGATGAACGTAAGAAAATAACGAAGTAGGGTTATTTTTGAAGTAGCCATGCCTACCTCTAATCTAATGTAATCTCTAATGTAATGTAACTCATGGTTGAACTATATACTAGTAACTAGTTCAACCATGATGTAACTATTTATGGTCGATGATTTTGTAGTTCTCAATTTCATCAATAAACTGTGTAGAGCGTCATATATGATATATCACATACATTTTAAATTTCATTTCCCGACTGAGCGAAGTGGAAGGTCGTATTCATTTTTCAAATTTGACAATTTTAATGTTTCATCTGCGTATTCGCGGTATTCTGTCACTGAGTGACGTNCGAACCAGCCCTCGGTCGAACGGCCACTTGTCGAAGGACGATAAATTTTGGAACAGAACTATGCTATCTGAAACCTAACATCAGATGCGGTGAACGTAAAATTACGTAATTTAACGATGCCCGGAAGTCAGATTCGATCCGTGGCCTGGTGGTGCACGGCAGGTTCTATGCGAGGCCGGAGGAAGACAAAGCCGAGTGGTGCACGGCTGATTGGTTGATGTCCGGAGAGATCCAAGGCGTTCGACTCAGGGCTTATTGGTGCACAAAATTTGTGGTGCACGGCTGCGCTCCCGGTTGGAGTCTACATCTAGATGAGTCTACTGTGAAATGGACTACGTTTTCTGGTGAAATATATTGACTCTAAGATTTACAATTTTAATCATAGTCATATAGAAAGGTTTAAACGATTGGTTATTAAATCAAGTAAGTATAATCAATCATTAATCACAAAAGGCTTTCGAAACGGCATTTTTAGTCAAATGTTAGATGCACGGATTTCTTATGTCGTTTTGCGAACGTCTCGCTTTGCGATCTAAAAAAGGGTTTCGGCAAAAATAAAGTAGTCCTCCTTAACATCCTAAAGGCGCGCACGTGAATATCAAAAATATTTTAAAATTTAAGTTCAATTTCAAGTGTTTCATGGCCAATATCATCATAATTAAGAAACAATTAGTCAACAAAATTTCCTGTATTTATGGGTTTTTCCACAATAAATTATATATCCAATGAGTCATGCATAGTCCGCGTAGATCAATCGTAGAATCGACACTCATATGAACAACGATATCGAAATTAGATAGCAATTAGTTGAGATGGTATACAAATGAATATCAACTAAAGGACAAAGTGCATCGGGAACAATAAACTAAAAATAATTATTCATATATGTGTACGCTCTGCGTTTTCTCTTAACCTTTTCAAAGTAGGCGGGGCTTGTGTCGAGACGAGACTGTCGCCCTCTGGCGAGCAACAGCCGTTTGTTGTGCTCCATGGCTGCAGTTTATAGCTTCAAATGAGGCTGTGTTGTTGAGTGTGATATTGCTACGCTGGTTTAAATTTAGTTCCGTGTTTATATCTTCAAATGTTTTATGTTGTCTACTATTTGATTTATAAATGCACGCTTGAACTGTGGAATATCTTATTTATGAGTAAATCATGGCCGATAACTCATGGTGAAGCGTTTGACTCACACAAGCCTGTAGATATCGTGCTTCAGTTCGTGGACGTGCGTGATGTGCACAACGCTTTCTACGGGAACTGTTCTAAATTTCATTTTTATTTATACTCGTTCCTTGTGGCCTATTTCTACGTTAAATGTGACTTTTAAACTGAATAATTAATATTGAAAACTAGTTTTCTCTTAGTATTATAGAAAACCAGAGAGTTATAGTCGTCAATTGGTAAAAGTGTTTAGATAATTGTTTGCTAGCAATCCTGTGAAGCAGTAAAGGACTTCCTGGCCCGTCCGGATGTTGAGTCTCAATTTGTTAAAGACTTTGAGTTCACCACAATTTCTATTTCTAGCCAGAAAGTCACTTGATATAAATTTTATAGGGGCTAGTATTTTTTTTTTCAAAGTCAAAATTATAATCATACAAAAATCTATTTTTTTTTCTGTGGTTTAGAATGAACAGTCGAGAATCTGATCATTTGATTCCCACATTTTAATGTAGGTAAATCATGTCTGAATGAATAAATATATTTTTTAGTTGAATGTCAACAAGTAGACAACATGCAAATTGATATATTATTGAATGTATGCACTAATGAATATTTAAAGGCACACAAACATAATTGGAAAAGAAGAAATTAAATGAATAAATGCCTACTTTAAAATTATTTGAGAAATTTTATCACAAGGGAAAAGTGAAAACTTTAAATTAAATGCAGCAGATTATATTATTTATGGTCAAAATCTAAGGAATAATTGAATCTTAATAATCTCAAATCGTCCAATGCAACATTACCTAGTTGCCACAGCTGCACAGCACTTGTGCTGGTAGGTTCTAGTAAAAATTATCTATATCAGGAACTAAATTTAAAATTTGGCAATATAGGCAATCTTGCCCATAGTGGCAAACCAGTGGTTTTTAGAATAAGCTCATTTTTAATTTCCTCATTTACTCAAGATTTTAACAGATTTCTTATGTATGATAATTCTGGTACCCCATGGTCAGGAAGATGTGCCAGGACAAAATAAATTCCCCAGGCGGGAATTTATTTTGTCATTTTAACGTCCTGCGCGGTGCGCCGTACTACATTGGTAAAAAAATGCGCCGTGCGCCGTACTTAAGCTAAAATAGTTCTACTATCTTAGTTGACAATATACGCAAGTATATTGACTACACGAGTCGAACTGACAATAATAAAATGTAAGACATGTCCGGGTTACTTCTGACTCTTCTGGTTGTCCGCCTTGTTGGATACGAAACGTACGGTAATCGTAAACTGCGGCTGTTATACATACAAAATGTAAACAGATGGTGTTCAGTGTTGCCATATGACTTTGGAGAAAATTTCTTCTAAAATAAAGATGGCCGGGATTGCGCAAACACGTGCGCAAAGATAATCAATTTTCATTACATTGCGCCAACTGTGCACAGCAATTGCTTAAAAAAAGTGAAAATGCGCGGGAAAATTCACCGAAAACATACATCATCCTGAGTGTGGCCTGGTACCGTAAAGTGGGGTTACTTTGACCGGCGGGGTAACTTTGACCACTTTTCATTTTCTTAACAAAAACCCCCAAAACTCAAAAATGATACAACATAGAAAAATTTTGTCAATGGCCATCAAAGGCCTAATGCTGAGGCTACGTAACACAACAGAAAGATTTAAAAAGTTTGCGTATCTAATAGGTTAAAAAATTAATAATGTGACCCACAAAAAAGAGCTATTATTTAAAGCCTGTTGGCTTTAAATAATAGCTCTTAAACTAGAGTACCCAATTTTTTTATTTTTTGGTAAAATAACTCCAGGTTTTGATGCATTGTAGTATTTTGTTTTTAAATTTATTTTAGATTTTTTTTACTTAGAAAACTAGATTTGTTTTTACTTAAGTGGGAACTGAACATGTGATAAGGCGGTTTGACGTTATAACATGCCTGCAGGCCACAACTATGCAATCTTCAACAAAACGTTTTAAGTTGACTTGTTAACGTTATCATGATGTTATGCAGGATATTTTGGCGGGAGCGTTGAAGTATACTGCTGAAGTTAAAAATTTTTTGAAATGACATGTTTGCAGAGTGCGATCTGTGATTTCTTCAATCAAACAAAAGTAAATTACATTAGAGCTGCAAGATTTCATACCCTCTTAAATTGTATGATGTTAGAGCTGTGTATTTCAGAAAAAATTACTACTTTTCCCAACTTGTCTAAACATGAAAGATCCTGCTGTGTTATCTAATCAGTTCCTAAATATTACTTAAATAAAAATAGAAAGTTAAGTTCTAGACCAAACTGGAAAAGTGGGCAGGGGTCACCTGTGAATCAGATGAAAATGGCAGTGAATTTGACCCATTTTACCCATTACTATAGCCCTTTCTAAATTTTTGCCTTAAACTGAGAAAAATGGCCTAATTTCACACTCAATTATTGAAAATCACCTGTGAAACTATCGATTTTAAGTGCAACCTCAGAAAAGTTCCACCCTAGATTTTAAAATTTATACAAATGCATGTTCAGATGTTCATTTACATGTTACATACGGTACCCTTTCTGAATTCCTTCTGGTCAGTTATAGTTCTTCCACAATTTTTGTAACTAAACTTATAATATTTTGAGGATGTTAGATTTCAATAACAAGTAGAAAATATACAAATTTTGGGTCTCGCAGGATGGAATTCAGGAGGGGCTATATATAGAGCAAGAGCATATATATATCATTGTATTGCATCTAAAAGTTGGGAATTATTTTTTTATTTATCTAGCCACTATTTTGAAACTGGTGAAGAGTTAAAGTTGGATATGTAGCAACCATCCCTCCTTCTTGATTTAGTTTGTTAGAGAAATACATAAATTTTGGTCAACCTGGCTAGATATGGTACATTTTTTCTTGTTCAGGGTCTACACTGTTAGAAAAATTACCATTAACAGTATTACCGGCGTTTCAGTGGCCGGTCAGCACGTGAAAAGAAACACCGTGTCGCCGTTTTTATTCTAATTTAACACTAGAAATCTGTAAAATATCTGATAAAAACGGCAAAACTGTTTATTTTCATGGGGCAACTGGCCACTAGAACACCAGTGGGACCGTTTTTTCTAACGGTGCATCCATCATTGACACAAAATTTCATGATGTTGCCTTTCATATAAAATAAGTACTCCTTGTCCTTTTACTACAACATCTGGCTGCTTGGCATGAAATTCAAAACAGGAAGTTTCTGTGAATCAGCCTGTAATTATACTAAATGATGATGTTTTGGAGATAATATGTATTTAAAAAAATTTTTTCTGCATGCACCCTTAAGAAATGAATAATAGTACCATATTAAGATTATAGCTTTGAAGAGAACATGTTTTTCAGTATTGACCCTTAATAAACAAACAATTATTAGGAGATTATAAATTTAAAAATATCATTTTTTTTCAGCATAGAATCATAATATGTAAATAATGTTTAATAATGGTATTGGTTGACATTACAGTTTCAAAAAGAAAATTTTTTCAGCACTGACCATTATAAACAAACAAACAATGATTAGGAGATTAAAACTCTAAAAATACTACGTTTTTCAGCAAAGAATAAAAATAAATAATGTTGAAGATAATAGATGTAAAGATACAATGATAAGGGGATTATAATTTAAAAATATCTTTTTTTAGCACAGGTTCATAATAAACAAATAGGCAATGTTTGAAAGATAACAGGTGTAAAGATACAATGATAAGGGGATTATAATTTAAAAATATTATGTTTTTCAGCACAGGTTCATAATAAATACATAGGCAATGTTTGAAAGATAATAGTGTTAAGATACAAGGTTAGTGATCATGGACCCCTCGGAGTGGGAGCAAGTGGGCAGTGTCCGAGATGCAGAGAGCAACGGAGTCATGGTCTCCAACCTGCCGCTCCTCTTTGCCAACATGGAGCCATGTGCAGCTAGAGCAGTTCATACCTTGTATTATTGTCTATAACACACATTTGTGTTACAGCAGCAGCAGTTTGTGCCATGTATATAACACATTTGTGTCGTGTTACAGCGGCAGCTAGAGCAGTTCATACCTTGTATTATTGTCTATAACACACATTTGTGTTACAGCAGCAGCAGTTTGTGCCATCTATTAAACACATTTGTGTTGCAGCAGCAGCAGCAATTCGTGCTATGTATTAAACATATTTGTGTTACAGCGGTATCAGTTCATGCCATGTATAGCACACATTTGTGTGACAGCATCAGCTGGAGTGGTTCATACCTTGTATATTTATATACAACACACACTTGTGTCACAGCGTGAGCTGGAGAGTTTCGTGCCATATATAACTGTGCACTAATAGCACATTTGTGTTTGTACCTTGTATAGTTATGTATAATACACATCTGTGTTACATCAGCAGCTAGAGAGGTTCATGCCATATATAACTCTGTGTACTAATAACACACATGTGTGACAGCGTCAGCTGGAGCGGTTCGTATGGTTCATGGTTCACTGCAGCGTGGGGGAAGACCTCCATGTGCCGTGGCACAAGCTGCCCCGGCCGCCCTGGTGGCCGCGGCGCCTCCTCTTCAGGATACACACCGGCGCCACCCCCACCCCCTCCACACGCTCTCTCCTCGTATGTCCTGTGTAGTCTTGTCTTGTTTGCATATCTTGAGCAATATTATGTTTGGATATTGTTACACTTCTGTAACAATATATATAGCATCTGTATATATAGCTAAATATACACTCATTAGTTAGATATACACTTGCTGCTTGTTAATGTTTTGTGTGGTCTTGTGTAGTTTGGATATCTTGACTAATATTTATAGTTTGGATATTATGACACTTCTGTATAGTTTATAATGAACCTGCTATATGTATAGTTAGATAAAACAAAGCACTTGCTGCTTGTATGCGCACTGTAATTTCTAAATTATGTGGTCTCACCTGTGTAATTTGAACATTTTTACTGTATACCTTGAATATGGTGACACTTGAATATTTTGTTCATCCCATATATTTGGAAGATAATGACCTCTACTGTGTATTCTGAATATGAAAACCCTTCTGTATACCTTGAATAGAGATAATATATATATAGCCCAATTATTCATTTAGTACTTTATACAGATAGTTTTATGTCAAAAATTCATTTATGACAAAAATTTCACTCTAGGTTCACTTGAACCAAAAATTTGGTTCATATTACAAAGTTTGACTGCCACACACAACAATAATTCCTTTAATTAATACCTACCCTTATTATTTAATAAATACTCTTAATTAATTAATACTCTTATTATTAATTAATACTCTGAGAAATACAAGGACAATATTTCACACTCACCCCACTAAGCGGGTCATTGTCCCCACCACCTGACACTCACCCCACTAAGCGGTACATTGTCCCCACCACCTGACACTCACCCCACTAAGTGGTACATTGTCCCCACCACCTGACACTCACCCCACTAAGTGGTACATTGTCCCAAACACCTGACACTCACCCCACTAAGCAGCACATTAGGTGACACTCACCCCACTAAGCGGTACCATGTCCGCAGCAACGACTAGTGGAGCGCTGCTACCAGTACCACGGCTGCGAGTTTCTGCTGCAGTTCTGCAGGTCGCTGGTGCAGCACCGGCCTGCTACCGGCTACAGGTTCACTGATAACAGGTTGGCTCATAACAATCTTGATAACAATATTATTATTATATGTTATTATTTAATTAATATTGTAAACGATGATAATTTTAATGATGAGTATTTTAATAATAATAATACTAAAAATAAATAATAATAACAATAATTTTAACAGGTGGGCATGGCTNATCAAGTCGTCCTAGTATTAATCAAGTCATCCTAGTGTTAATGAAGTCTTCCTTGTCTTAATGAACTCGTCCTAGTCTAATCAAGTCACCCTAGTGTTAATTAATGAAGTCTTCCTAGTCCTAATAAATTCTTATAGTCCTAATCAAGTCATCCTAGTGTTAATGAAGTCTTCCTTGTCTTAATGAACTCATCCTAATCCTAATCAAGTCATCCTAGTCCTAATAAAGTCTTATAGTCCTAGTCAAGTCATCCTAGTGTTAAGGAAACCATGTAGGTCAAAATCTATTTTCTATATTCAGGGAAGGATCATCTCCAAACTTGGTACACATATGTAAAATCGAAAATGACGACTATTTTGTTCATGTGAATTTTTCGAAAAAAATGAAAGAAAACGTGAAATTCATAGAAAACGGCCAAAAGGGGTACTTTAGAAAATGCATCTCCTCCTACAAATATCGTGCTACAACATCGAGACAGGTATCATTCGATGCGTAAAGACCTTATCTAGCGATTGTCGGGCCACGAAATAGTAATAAATTTAACTCCGTCAGCCAATCAATGACGGCTTTGAACTCACACGGCTCGACAATCGCTAGATCTTTTCATTATGAATCGAATGGTGTATCTCTCATCGCTGTAGCTTCAAAACTCTAGGAGGAGATGTATTTGCCGTGACAAAAAGTGTGAATGTTCAGGAGGGCGTGACAAAATCCCGCGCGCATCCGAATAGCCACTCAATGTATCAAGGATACGAAATTAAACGTAACTGGAGCTTGTACCAGTCAAGGATGGTGGGAGCAACTGCTACTACACGACCCCGTGCGACGACAGGAGGGTAACTGAGCCCATGCTCCACCAGCCACTCTATTTATGTGCGACGCAGTTAAATTTCCCCGATCTAATTTGTTCAAGAACTCTGCCACCTCCCTCCCTTGCGGAATCTCTAGGGAACGCATAAATCAACGTACAGAGACGGTTTTGGTACCGTTGGATAGTTCAGAATGTCAGCTTTAAGATGAAACTAAAAACCGGAAAAGCCAAAATCCAGAATTTTGACCGACATGCTCCCCTTAATATATATGATGATAGTTATTTTAATAATAATGATATTATTGATACTAATAATTAATAATAAAAATTATAATAGTAATACTAACTATACTAATTAATAATAGTAATTCTTTCGATAATAATAATGACAATAATAACAATAATAATTGTGCAGGGACGGCACGACTGCAATGCACCACACCGACACCGGGAAGCTGCTGGTCACCTTCAGGAACGAGAACAGGGTGGGTTGTGAGGGTGGTGGGTTGTGAGGGTGGTGGGTTGTGAGGGTGGTGGGTTGTGAGGGTGGTGGGTTGTGAGGGTGGTGGGTTGTGAGGGTGGTGGGTTGTGAGGGTGGTGGGTTGTGAGGGTGGTGGGTTGTGAGGGTGGTGGGTTGTGAGGGTGGTGGGTTGTGAGGGTGGTGGGTTGTGAGGGTGGTGGGTTGTGAGGGTGGTGTGGGTTGTGAGGGTGGTGTGGGTTGTGAGGGTGGTGTGGGTTGTGAGGGTGGTGTGGGTTGTGAGGGTGGTGTGGGTTGTGAGGGTGGTGTGTGTTGTGAGGGTGGTGTGGGTTGTGAGGGTTGACATGACAAGTTGACGTCTTGACAGGAGTACGAGAAGCTGATGGCCGGCAACAGCTCGCCTGTCAAGCCACTCTCTGTCAACCCCGTCACCAACAGGCAAGCTTTTATTATCATTATTATATTAAACTTTACTATTATACTGTGGATTAGAAATACGACGTGAAAGATTCAGTGGCAAAATACTGAAAAATAATAGAAATTACATTAAGTTATTTTATTTATCAATGTTTAATGTTATATATCGTATCATATTGGCAATAATTATTTATAATCTTCCATAGAAATCGGCATGATAATGATGGAACAAAGATAGGATCTATCAGTCGAACTTGTCCCCCATTTATCCCTTATTAATCCCCCCATCACACACTTCCTATTAACCTTCCTCACTACCCATTATTAATCACTCATTACGGTACCCCCTCCCCCATTAACTTTCCCACATTAACTTACTTATTTAAAATAATGTGGCATTAATTTAATTAATTAATTAATCCCCCCATTACCCCACATTAACCTCCTCATTAACCCCCCCAGACCACAGCTGTTGCCGCGGCGGGGGTCAGGGGGCGCCATGGTGCGGGGGGAGGTGCAGGACGTCTTCCTATGCGACCGCTGCGACCAGGAGTACACCTGCCTTGCTGACGTACAGGTACTACCTTGATTAAGACTTAATTAAGTTACTAATTGATTATTGATTACTGCCTCGCCGTCGTACAGGTGCCTTAATTAATTACTAATTAATTACTGCCTCGCTGATGTGCAGGTCTGATTAATAATTAATTAAGTTACTAATTGATTAATAATTACTGCCTCGTCAATGTGCAGGTGTCTTGATAATGATTGACACTTCTTATATTCATAAGAAGTACGGTATTATATATATATATAAAAAGTATATATATAATTCGCCGAGTGTGAACGGGGTCCACAGCTGGCAGCAGTATTCAAGGATAGGTATTACAAGGGCTCTAAAGAGTGTGATCATCAGTTCCGCTTCTCTTGTTCTGAACGTCTACCAGATCCACCCCATCTGTCGTCTACCTCTTGCGGTTATTGCCGGTATGTAATCACCAAAATTGACCTGATTGTTCATCAACATTCCTAGATCACGAACAAGTCGCTTCTCTTCGATTTCCGAGTGGTCAGGTGCCAGGTAGCGGTGCTCCATACCAGCTCTTCCGCTACCTCTGTATCTCAGAACCTCAAACTTGGTCCCGTTGAACTGCATGTTGTTCACTAGGGCCCAGTCATATATTGCAGAGTCCCAGTCCTCATATTCTTGCAACCTCTCACTGTCCGTCCTGTCTGTTATGGTCATTAGTATCCTGGTGTCGTCCGCGAATGACGATGCAGTGGCGTTGCTCACTGCCACATCTATGTCGGCGATGTGGATGAGAAAGAGGCTCCAAATGTTGCCGTGTAGCTCCAAATGTTGCCGTGTAGCTCCAAATGTTGCCGGCCTGCTTGCGGTTGGAGTGCGTTCCTTCATGGGACCAAATCGGCAATCACCAAATCCCCGCCTCCCGAAAGGAAGGCCCAAAGCCTGTTTTTTGGCCGGGCCGGCGCACGGATGCCCGTGTGTTGCTGGCGGTGTTGCTGCTGAGATCGGGAGATGTTGAAGCTAACCCGGGACCGGTGTGGGTGTGTCTGCTCTCCAGCGGCCGAATCTCAAACCGACAGACGTCCTTCCGATGTAATTCACAATCATTACACTGGGTTCATAAAAATGCACCACAATCAAAATAAAAGACTACACCAACAACTGGACCTGCAGTCTTCGCACAGCACTTCCAATTACCACTAACCCACATATTCAATCAAACCTACCTCAGCAAAACAACTCAGCACAACCTCCCCAACGACCCACTCAACAACTACAGTCATTAGTTCCACCAAACTTTTCAAACCAGAACCAACCACAACTCCAACCGAAACACCCTGAAAGTTCTCCAAATAAACATAAACACGCTATCAAACAAAATAGATGAACTAGCCCTACTTGTCAAACAACATCAAGTAAACATTATCACTGTACAAGAAACAAAACTCAAGCCCACAACAGGAACACCAACAATTGCAGGTTTCACAACTATAAGACAAGACAGAACACACAAATATGGTGGCGGTCTACTAACTTGCATCAAAAATAACATTACCTCTTTCACCATTCAAATCCCACCTAACATAAACCAAGCTACTACAGAACTCCAAACCTCTCAAGTCCACTTATCCAATAATAAGTCAATTTACATAACCAACTGATACATCCCCCCTAGAGACACCAATCATCCATTACACAACCAAATAGATCAACTCATCACCGAATGCTTAATCCACATCACCAATAAACCAAACACAATCATCACAGGAGACATTAACACCCACCACAACACTTGGCACTCACCTTACAATTACCACAGAGGCATGGTACTAATAGAAGACAGCATACAGAATTCAAACCACATTATCCTCAACCAAAATTCACCTACTCGTCTACCCACCACAAACAATCAACAACCTACCTCTCCTGACATCTCCACAGCCTCTGACACTATAGCAAAGAACATTACTTGGACTGCTCTGACAGAACTTTTATCTGACCACCTACCTATACTACTAGACTGTTATCTGATCACCCACCTACCGCTGTAGTATGTACCTAGGCTACCTACCTACCCTTCACTACAAACATACGCAAACAGAATAGGCTGAGCAGACACAGACACCTGCCCATCCTGTCAGAGAGCTCCCCACACAATCACTCACATTCTCCTGGAATGTCCGCTCTGTCAGGATCTCAGACTACACCACCACATAACCTCGACCCTACAGCTTTGGAGCGACCCACTGTCGGTGGTGTCGTACTTGCGTGAGGGAGGTCTCTTATAAAAATGAGACCGGAGAACCACAACAACAACAACTAGACTGTAGAACAAAAACAAACTTCTGACTACCACACCGAACAAAAACATACACTAACTACCACAAAGCCGACTGGGCCTCCTTTTCAACTGAAATAGAATCAGCACTAAAAAACATAGCAGACCCAACCGACATTCACGTCACAAACAAAACACTCACAAACATCATGATCCAAGCGGACAAACACATTCCTAAAGGCAAAATAAAAACAAAACAACCACCTATTCCAGACAACATGAGAGCCCTCATAACTCAAAGAAATCAAATCAGAACCGCATATCACACAGACCTGCAACTACCGCAGTTAAACAGAGAAATTAATAGAGCCATACAAGACCATAAAACAAACATTTGGAGAGAACACTTAGAGCAACACTGGGACAACAAACACAATAGTCATATACTCTGGAAAACAATACATCAACTATCAAACAAAACCATTCCCACTCAACCAAACAAATCCATCAGATTCCCAAATAAAATAGCACCTACTTCCCAAGACAAAGCAAAATCTTTCAACAAACAATTCATAAACATAACAAAACATCAAACCTGCCCTCACTACAGAAAAATAGACAAACAGAAAAATTGAAAAATCAAAAAACTTATTCAAAGATCAGATGACCATCACAACAGATAAGACCATCTCTGCAATTAAAAATAGTAAGAACAACAAATCCACAGGCCCTGATGACATTAACACTCAACACCCAAAACACCTTGGACACAACGCAATATCATACCTTACCAAAATATACAACATATCAATAAACAAAAACATCATCCCACACACATGGAAATTAGCCAAGATCATACCCATACCCAAACCCAACAAAGACACATCCATAGGTTCTTCTTACAGACCAATATCACTCCTCAGTCCAATCTCCAAAACATTAGAAAAAATCATACTCAACATCATTCAATCTCTCATTCCACAAATAGCTCACCAACACGGTTTCAAGGGAAATCACTCCACAATCACAGCCCTTCACTCAATTACCCAACATATTACCTGCGGATTCAATCAGAAGCAACCACCTTCACGAACCATTACAATAGCACTAGACATATCCAAAGCAAATAGACATGTCTCAAAGATACAAATTCCATACAATAGCACTAGATATGTCTCAAAGATACAAATTCCACCAACATTAACGAAATACATATCCAATTACATAAAAGGAAGAAAAGGCTACACACTTTTCGATAACACCACTTCCAAACAGCAGAATTTCAAAACAGGCGTCCCACAAGGGGGCGTCCTTTCACCCACTCTATTCAACATATACACCTCAGGCCTCCCCACTCCCCCCACAAATGTACATATTACGACGACATTACCATCTTCTCATCACACCACAATTACAAAATTACGGAACAACATATACAACCATTTCTACAACAGATACACGACTGGACTATCAGAAACAACCTCCAACTAAACGCATCCAAAAGTACAGCCACACTATTTACACCTGACCCTGCTGAGTACAGGAAAACACTAAACCTTACCATAGACATTACCACAGTTCCCACCATCACACACCCAAAAATACTAAGAATCACATTCGACCCAAAACTAAACTTCAATACCCACATCCATGATACACGTGACAAAGCAACTAAAATATAAAATTCTAAAATCTTTCACATCAACAAACTGGGGAAAACAAAAAGAAGTCCTAATCACAACCTACAAAACTATAACACAACCTATCTTAGAATACGGCAGAACCATCTGGGGTCCCAGCCTAGCACAAACTCACACAAATAAACTACAAACAATCCAAAACAAAGCACTCCGCATTGCAACAGGTTGTACAGCTGATACTAACCAAAGCCACCTACACACAGAAACAAAAACGCTTCCAATAGACCAGCACCTCAGACTTCATGCATCCCAACTCAGACTAAAAGCTCAAGCACCGACCCACCCACTTCACACTCATTGTTTCAATCTTTTCAGTTTCTCAAACAAAATAGAATTAACGAATAAATTGACACGTTCCAACGGATCAAATGACGATAGAAAAAAAACTTACTGATGGTGCGAAGGGTGCCTTCACCGACAAATTCAAAAGCAATTCAATTAACACTTCAAGTCTGAAAATTATCGAGAAAATGAAAAATCGCAAACTAGTACAATTAATACAGGATAATTATTATCGCAAACTAGTACAATTAATACAGGATAATTATTGTCACAGGAATGTTTATAATGACAACCAAAACTGACTTAGGTTTGACAAACTAAGAACCATGACAAATAAATGTGTAACAGTTAAGCCGAAGTCTGGATACAAAGTGGGAGGCGAGAGCTGCTCTCGGAACGACGACGCATGTCATTCAGAGGTGGAAGCCCCCATATCCAGCTCTCGAGGAATTTCGCCGCGCTGCAACGCGACAGAAACTACACCACTAACATACCCATAGAACCAGATCAAGCCACAACAGAAACACTAAACAGGCGCAAGAAACAAATACACACTACAATCACAACTAACTACATAGACAATCTGCCAAACAATGCTGTACTTTCGGCACCAGCACCAGCCATAGACTCTTCAGAAACCCAATTACCCAGACACACACACTAGCACAACTCCGTACAAACAAGTCCCTCCTACCACACCAATACCTACACAAGATAGATCCAGTCACACATCCGTCCCCTATTTGTCCACTCTGTCACAAAAGTCACTAAAATGAACACAGCACCAACCACCTGTTCGGCTGCTCGGAGCTGGTCACGCCCTTGTCGCCCCTGGTTTTGTGGAGCTCTCCCATCGAGGCGGCAGGGCTGTTAGCGCGCTGGGGAGAGAGGCTGGGCTGGCCACAGGAATGGGTGTAGGCCCCGTCCCGCACTTGTCGCGGGACGGAGAGGGCGAACAACAACAACATGAGGGAGAGGATTGGGCCGAGTACCGTTCCCTGTGGTACTCCACTCTTCACCCTAGCCACGCTCGATCTCGAGCCTCCAACAACTACAGCTTGTAGTCTTTCTGTTAGGAAGCTGTGGATCCATGCCAGCAATTCACCTCCGACTCCCAGCAGTCTTAATTTTCTGAAGAGCACCCCATGGTCTGTCTCTTATACACATCTAGATGTGTATAAGAGACAGAGCTACAACATTGAGACACATATCATTCGATGCGTAAAGACCATATCTAAAACGCAACACGAGGGTTTTTAGGATTTCTCATTTTTGTGGGTGTGGGAGCATTTTTCGTAAATTTTTCGAAAATTTTTCGATTTTTCCCCCCGCCACCCCCCTTTTGCGGAATAAAATTCAAACTATAACGAAATTAGAAAAAGACACGTGTTACGTTCTAGATAATTTTGTTGCGCATCGAATGGTATATGTCTCATTGTTGTAGCTTAAAAACTCTAGGAGGAGATAGGTTTGCAGTGACAATAAGTTAACTTTTCAGTAGAGCCCGTCAAAGTCCCGCGCGCATCGGAATAGGCACTCAATGTAGCAAGGATACGAAACTAAACGTTACTGGAGCTTGATTCCAGTCAAGGATGGTGGGAGCGACTGCATGCACACCTCCTCATACGACGCCAGGCGGGTAACTGAGCTGCAGCTGAAGCAGACACTCTATTTAAAGTGCTCGGCAGCTAATTTCCTCCTATTCTATTTGTCAAAGAACTCCCCACCCCCCTCCTTTTCATGATCTGTCGTGAACGCATAAATCAACGTACAGAGATGATTTTGGTACCGTTGGAAAGAGCAGAATGTTAGCTTTAAGATGAGACTAAAAACCGGGAAAGCCAAAATCAAAAATTTTTGGTGGACGCTCCCCTTAATATAATCAATTATTTTATTTTAGTTTTCTTATATTAACTATTAAAAACTTTTAAAGTAATTCAAGGAGTTTAAATTTGAAAATTCTATTGAATTACTTCAATTACTTAAAATTGCGAAATTCCATAAGGAATTTAAGTTTTAAAATGATATTAAATTATTTTATTAAGGTAATTATTGTACAGGTGGCCCGGCTGCACGCGCTGGGGCTGACCCCCGCCCCCCACACGGGCCGTGCCCCCCACAGCTCCCCCACTAAGGTGTCGGGGGGTAAGGGGGTGCGGGGGGCGGTGTGGGGGGCGCCGCCCCCCCATGTCAGGAAGGTGGCCAGGAGCAGCGCCTTCAGGTGCGACAGCGTCGACTTCTCCTCTCCGCTCGGCAGGTATATTATAATATATAATATAATGCTTTATATATGATGATATATTGCTATACTAATGGTTATTTAATAAATGTGTATTATATAATAATGTATAAAGTCGATTTCCCGTCTCCTTTTGGCTGGTGTGTTACGCATGTATAATATAATAATGTATTATGCTCAATGTATATCTTATTATATAATAATATATAATGCTTCTATATACGATAATATATTACTGAGAATATTAGACCTATATATTTAATAATTAGCAGGGATTACATTATATATCATAAGTTGTTGACATTGCTAAGAAACTATCTCAGCAAACACACAGTAAACACTCGGGCAGCAAACACACAGTAAACACTCGGGCAGCAAACACACATCAAACACAAATCAGTTCCCAGTTTCATACAGCAAACACACATTGGCCACAAATTAGTGGCCACGTAGTAAACAAGCCCCCTGACATCCTACATATCCTACAGGAACCGAGGGCTGGCCCGCTGGGTCACAGTGTACCGCAGTCCTAAGCTGCCCTGGACCCACTCCTACAGCTTCAACAAGGCCCAGAGATGTGACAGATGGCTCACCATTGAGACCGGTCTCGATGCTCGGGCTCGGACCCTCCTGCACCAGCTGCGGCCCCCCAAAGTGGTCCTAAAGAGGGTCCCTAAACGGGTCATAGACCGGTACTCGCGGCTGGGGGGACACCAAAGACCGGCCATGTACATAGACCTGACCGGAGATGAGGGCGCCTTCATGAACCAGTTTATCGGGGGTGGATCGAGTCTGGGTCTCGGTGGTGGTTCGAACCATGATCCCGGTGAAACTAACCGTGTTGTGTCTGGAACTGTGATGCCCTATGGAGCAAGTGGTATGATGCCGGCAAGTAGAACTCTAAGTGGAAGTTCCATTCCCTTCAGCCAAGTCATGCAAATCGTGACCGGGAATTGTAACTGGGCCATTGCCCCCGGTTTCATGGAGCATGTTATCGCTGGAGGGCAAGTCCCAGATAACGTGATAGCTCTTACCCTGCAGAAGCTGTTCTCTCCTACAGGACGTCTTGTTCAGCTCCTGAAGGAGGCTATCAATAACAACAACTTCCGTTCAAAAGCCGAAGAGGAATACGGTACCTCGCAACCGACTCCACAGCAGCAGAACGCGTTGCTGATTAAATACGGCATTCTTCAACAAGTTGCTTATAATATCGGAGTCTCAGATCTGATGATGAATTTAGTGCTGAACCACGGTAAAGTCTTGAGTAACGCGTCGGAAATGATACGACTCACCTCCCTGCCGCCCAGTATACCCAGGGTAACGCACCCCGAAGTGAGTTCGGTCCTTGCAAACGGCGGCGCCGGTCGTACGGTCCTACAGCGACATCAGCTGCAACTTCTTCGGGAACACCAGCGTCAGAGTTTGTTGTTGCAGAGGTCCTCTTCATCTCCAGGGACACCCCCACAACATTTCAAGCCTGCTAGGCCTCTAGGTTCAACACAGTCTCTGGTTCAGTCTTCTCAAGTTCGACCTGAAACCAGCCGAGATGACCAGAGTTTGGCTTCAAAATCGAAATCTTTCCCGCCGACGGGGCTTGTAGGTCCTAGACCGGTCCTTAGAACCCCTTTTGTTCATAGACCAGGACCTAAAAGTCGTCGGAAATATCGTTTTCCTTTATCCTGGAACAAAACACTTCCTGCCAACACATCCCGTCAGGTTGATATCCCTAGCGACAACAACGACATTCAAGTTTTGCCTTCATCTTCATCTTCCACTTCGTTGCTGCCGATGCATCAGCTGCCACAGTTCGCGGCGCTCCATCAATTGACGCCCAAAGTTTTCTCCGATGAAGGCCTCAACGCCAGACTACAACAGGTGATCAAACAGAACCTGCAGCAAAATACAAGTGTTTTTTCCAACATACAAAACCTGCAACAAAACCAAACCGTTTCTTCCAACCCTGCCGGTGGTTCAACCGTTTCTTTCAACCCTGCCGGCAGTTCAACCGTCGGTCTCCCAGACCCTATTCATCACGATAATGGCATGTCAATAATAGACGTGATTGATCTCTCAAGTGATGACGAGGTTGAATGTAAATCCCGGAAGCGAATTAAGGATCCTTTATCAATCGAGCATCCTTCGGTCCATGATTCGTCCAAGTTTGGTTCTGAACTAACAACCTCTAGGAATTCTCTCTCTGATAATAGATTACTAACGACCAACAACAGTGGTGATGTTATAAGGAATAACTCGGTGCCTTTCAATCCTCGTTTACCTTTAAACGCTCCGTCTAACAACACTCATTTAAATAAAGAAGTGGCGTCAAAAAACGAGCGTAGCCATTGGTCACAGTCTCCTGCTAACCTGTCAAAAGGAGATCATGTTTCCCGCAGTTCCGGGCCAGCAACTGCTGCACGTGTGACCAATGGCGAAAGACCAACGAAAGGCGCTGTCTCGAGTTCAATTTCTAATATTAATAATGCTTCATCCTCTAAAACAACGAACAAACCTGACATTTCATCAAGAAAACCTACTAGAGGAAGCTATCAAAATGGGACGTCTTTTAATGATGACATTTCATCAAGAAAATCTACTAGAGGAAGTCATGAAAATGGGACGTTTTCTAACGATGACCTCTTGAGGAAAACAAGAAAACGTTGCAGGATGAATGGTAAAGTTCCTGTTCAACACTCGCTCGTACAAATCATGCTTGTTCAACAACAATGCGTCGTTGACTTTAAATTCTTCAGATAAAATGATCAATGGCAAACCAAATCTCCAGTCCCCATATCCAAGGGACTCGAGTTCATCCGGGATCCGGTTTCCAAATAGTGTGTCTGTACGACCCACTAGTCCCGTTTACACGGTGGTTACTGAGGAAGAAGAACGCTTTCTTGTTGCTTCATCTTTAGCTAATAAAAGCGGGTACAACAAAGGCGTCGTGTCTGGCATAAAGACCACCTCAGTTCCCTGTGTGGTGTCCTCTTTGTCCAACAACAACTCATTGAGTCGCAGGTCTTGTCCTAACTCCTACGACTGTTGTCCTAGCAAGTCCTATGACTGGGACGAGCGAAGGATACTCGAGAACAAGAAAGCGAGGACAAAATTGCTCTCAGGATACGATAGTGAACGAGAACTTGAAGAAAATACGCTTCATTCTAAAAACTGCACTTTGAAAACTGACAAAAACTGCCACAAAAACGGCGAGACTCGAGAGTGTGCGGCAAAACGTCGCGTAAAAGAGAATTTAGATCACGAACAACAATTTAAAAGCCTCAGAAGTGGCAAGAAATCTAGGGACCTTGATAATTCAAGTGAATGCAGGGAATGTTATCTTCAAAATTCGAAGAATTCTTCAAACTTCGTTCCGAATCCTAGCAGTGTTGTGTCAGGAAAAGAAGTTTCTTCGCCTTCATCCCCAGTTGGCAATCCCCAGCTGTCCGTATCCCCGATTGTGAGGCTCACTCCCCTCACTCACTCCGGAGGTAGACCTAAGACAGATGTGTCCGGAATCCACGCAAAAAGCGGAACTATGGTAAACGGATGCCTGAAGTCGAACGCATCTGCCCCCCAAACTGTAACTTTCCCCAGCGAAATTTCTCCCCAGACCAGCAATTTTTCCCCAAACCCTAGCAAAAGAGTAGCTTTCCCCAACAAAACTGCAACTTTCCCCAGCGAACTTTCCCCAGTTGTAAGCGAATTCTCCGATGATCAAATTTTTCGGGATTCCAACGTAGACGCGACGCCCTACGAAGACGACAGCTGTGACCGACTGGGAGCGTCGCCCCCTGATGGACCGGTCACCTCGAACGCTGTGGCGGAGGACCAAGCTTTTGGTAAACCTTTGAACGACGACCAAACTGCTGCACATAAACGAACGATTTACGGTACAGATGTAACCGTCTTGCTATCCTCCGTAATCAGCAGGAGTGTTAGTTATCTCAAGGATAAATTTTTCTCCAGTGATGCGTTGAAGGATAACGATAATGGGTCTGAAATGCCGGGACCGGGGCCTTTGAATGAGCCTAGAGCTGCAGAAGTGAGGGGAAAGGGCAAAGAAAATGGGATCATGACGAGAGGAAAAGAGAATAAAGTTGATAACGATGACGTGGGTCATTCAAAGCCAACATCTGCATCGATTCAAAATGACGAAACGGATGATGAAGATGATGTAGAAATCTCCGATGATGGCGGCCAGTCAGGGTCCGATCATTGGAGTGATTTGGATGATAACGATCATTGGAGTGATTTGGATGATAACAATTCAGTGCCGCCTATTAAAAGAAGAAAAAGAAATCGTTGTGCTATAAGAGCCTGTTTGTCCGACGAGTGTAAAGAACTTGGCAACCTACATGCGCTGCTAACTCTTAACCCTCCTGTCCCTGGCCGCATCACGCGTAAAACTTTCCACAAACTTTCTTCCCGTCACCAAAATAAAGGAATTAAACGGTTAAAACATTCTCAAAATCATAAACTTCGTTTGAATCTTGAAAGAAAACTCTTGCAGGCAAATAAAGATGAAAGAACAGGTATGGGAAAATCATTATATGTTGATTCTTCTTCGTGTCAAAAAGAACAAACAGGTTCAGACAATGTTGAAAATTCAACAAAATTTCCCACTCAAACCGAACAAAATATTAATTCTACAGCAACAAATAAGAATTCCAGCTCTAATGAAAGTTGCGTCGATGAACTTTCACTTAAGTTAACTGAATCAATAATTACGAACTTGACCAACGGCGCCTTAGGAGAGGCGTTCGCCTGTTCAGTGCAACTAAACTGTCCGCGCCTTTGGGATAGTGTTAACGTTGTGGAAAACGGTAATAACGCCGTGGAAAACGGTGATAACCTCGTAGAAAACGGTGATAACGTTGTGGAAAACGGTTATAGACGGGATAGAGACGGCCGTTTTTTATCTAGCCCTGGGCGGGATAGAGACGGGGCTTTTTTATCCAGGCCTGGGCGGGATGAAGGCGGCCGTTTTTTATCCAGCCCAGGACGAGAAAAAAGCGACTTTTCCAAAGCACCAAACACCTCGAGGTCCCCGAAGTCCCCCAGCATTATGGACTCCCTCAGGAGGAGGACAAAGAAACACGTGGACCAAGAACCTCCCATCACGTGGACCACAAGCTCTGTCCCAGGTTCTGAATCCCCGCGATGCAGTTCCCCATTTCAAATAATCCTTGAACCTGGGGGAATGGTTTCTAGGATTTTTGATGGTCCTGGGGATGCCATTTCTAATGGCAGATCAATCCAATCCCCCGACACTGCGGTTGATATTAGCCCCAAATGGAAGCTGCGGAGACCGACTCATGATGGTAGATTCTCTTCACCATCAAAGTGCAATGCCGAGGGCAATTCTCACTATTCAAGCACCGGTTCTCACTATTTAGGCGCCGGTTCTCACTATCCAGGCTCCGGTTCTCACTATCCAGGTGCCGGTTTTCAAAATTCAGGCTCCGACAATCAAGGTTCTTCGCCTAGTCCAAGGGGTCAACCGCGCAAAGCAGATGTGGACCGACTTTGCGGATCTGCGGTTCCCGATAGTGCTTCTAAAAAGACCGGAAAGCGGAAACGTCTGCCTCAGGAGCTGAAGAACTTGATATCTGATGAGTTTAAAGAATTCCGGCAGTCGGGCTTTCATCCCGTTGATGTGGTGGTGGCCCAGGTAGGGGACGGGCTGTCCGAAGACCGTCCCGAGTCGACAACTGGGACCAGGACCGAGCTGTCTCCTGAAAATTCCTGCAATTCTCAAGCCAGCAATACAGAGAATAGCTCATTTAATACCTCCTCTAATACCTCTTCTAGCTCATCCAGTGCTTCGCCGTTCAAACGTCAAGTTGCTTTTAAACGAACTCGTCCTTCTTGGTTGTGGAAACGAAAAGCCACTGCGTCGGGCCACAGCGGCGTGCTAGGAACCACTGCTTCGGACCACAGTGGCGTGCTAGAAGCCACTGCTTCGGACCACAGCGGCGTGCTAGGAACCACTGCGTCGGACCACAGCGGTGCAGATAATAAAGCTGTGGTCCCTGGTAGTGCGTCTATGAAGACCGGAAAGCGGAAACGTCTGCCTCATGAGCTGAAAAATTTGATATCTGATGAGTGGAAGGAATTCCGGCAGTCTGGCTTTCATCCCGTTGATGTGGTGGCCCAGGTAGGGGATGGGCTGCCCGCAGACCGTGCCGGGTCGAAAACTGGGACTGGATCCGGTCTGTCGTCCAGAACCGGAAAATGTCCCGAGTCGAAAATTGGGACCGTGACTTCGCACCGCGCTAGTGATGATGACAGCATGGATGGCTATGAGACGGACACTGAGGAAGGTGATCAGAGTGAAACTGAAAAGTCTTTTGGGAGAAAGACCAAGACACGACGTTTCGGTTCCCGGGAGAATGATTTTTCGGTGCCGCGACCGATCCCGGAGTCTGTTCGGGATCGGTCTTATTTTTCTAATATTAAATCCGATGTAACAAGTAAGAAATCTGATGTAATCATTAATAGATCTCGTGTTATAAGTAATAGATCACATGCCTCCACCGAAAGAAACCACCGTCCGGTGAAGGATAGAAGGATCTTGACGAGCGATTCGGACAGTTCAAGTTACAGCGACTCAGACTCCGACGAAGATATTTCCAAAACAATGAAGGACTCTCAGAAAAAGAAGACAAACTATAAACCAAAACGTATTCCCAACGAAGTGCGGAACTTGATCAAGGACGAGTGTAAGGAGTTTAAGGCTCATGGGTTCCATCCTATAGACGTGGTCACTCGTCTCGCGCCCTCGTCCAGCTCCGAGGACGAAGAGTCCTGGGAAAATTTAGCTTTGACGACGAGGAAAAAGCATACAATGGACAAGGTCGAGGACGATGAGACTGGAAATTTAACGAAAATAATGGCGTTGAGACCGAAGAAAAGAGATATTAACTATGATGATGAGGCCCGAGTCCGGGCCGATGTGGTCGAAGTCCGGGACGATGAAGATAAGGTCCCGGACAGAAAAGGATACAGTGGACAGTTCGGGACGGTACAGGTTCGGGTCCATGACCACGAAGTCCGGGACCATGATGCCGAAGTCCGGGACCATGATGCCGAAGTCCGGGCCTATGATGCCGAAGTCCGGGACCATGACCACGAAGTCCGGGACGATGATACCAGTTCTGGGACCGACGATACAGATCCTCCGAGTTATCCTACGACCAACGCTAGTAAACCAAGGATACCGCGCGAGCTGAAGAATTTACTGAAGGATGAATACAAGGAATTTAGAGACCGTCTTAATCTTCAGAAAATAAACCTGAGTAAAAAAGAATTCCTAACGCCATTATCATCGGAGACCACAACAAATGGGTCAGACGGACACACTTTTGTAAACCTGCACTCAAAAAGAACACCGCAATCCCTTGAGAGAAATTCGGTGGTAAGCAACTCTCATAAAACCTTACAAGAGACTCACAGAGGATGGCAGTTCTCACGTAATGCCACTAAAAGTGGCATGGCATGCCACGACGATGGCATGTATGCCACACCGCGCGGCCTACACCGCATGACGCTTAAAGAGGAGAATGCCATGTGTGTTGTGAGTTACGTTCTGCCTCACATTATGTGAGTTATGTTCTGCCTCACATTATGTGAGTTATGTTCTGCCTCACATTATGTGAGTTACCGTATGAATTATTCATATAAATATTTTTCATAAACTATTTCAGTTCATGAAAATTTATTCATGAACTAAGAAAGAAAATATGTTCATAAAAATCAAGTTCAAAAAAAAAATCATCTTGAACATTATAAATAATTAAATTTATCTTAAGCTCCTTTATTTTTCATGATGTGTAATTCTTTAATATTTTATAAATTGTGAAAATATTGTATATTTTTACGTTGGGTTTTTATTTATTTTTTTTATCCAATAGTTGCATTAAAGAAAATCTTGATTCATTCTAATTAAAAAAATATTTGAACTTTTTTGGTTATATTTGCTATATTTTGCATCATTGATTAAATTTCAAGCTTTGTTAAAAATTAAATTCATAAATTCAACCCACGCGTTAACCACTCATTAAACTTTGTGTGTAAATAACGTATTACAATGTAAAACAGCACAAGCCGTAAAACTGAGTTTCAAACCCGTGGTTCAACTCATGAGTCTTGATAGTAAAATCAAGCGGGATATTTTTTTTCTTTGGTAAGTTGAATTCAACCCATTCTATTCAACCCATTATTTCCCACAGTGAGTTGAATTTAGCCCATTATATTAAGCGCATTATTTCCTAAAGCCAGTTGAATTCAACCCATTATTTCCTACAGTTGGTTGAATTCAACCAATTATATTCAACCCATTACATTCAACCCATTATTACCTACAGTGAGTTGAATTTATCCCATTCAACCCATTATTTCCAACAGTGAGTTGAATTCAACCCATTATTGAACCCATTCAACCCATTATATTTAACCTATTATTACTACAGTGCACGAGTTGAATTCAACCCATTATATCCAACCCATTTCCTACATTGAGTTGAATTCAACCCATTATTGAACCCGTTCAACCCATTATATTTAACCTATTATTACCTACAGTGAGTTGTATTCAACCCATTATATCCAACCCATTTCCTACAGTGAGTTGAATTCAACCCATTATATCCAACCCATTATTTCTTACATTGAGTTGAATTCAACCCATTCTATTCAACCCATTTCCTACAGTGAGTTGTATTCAACCCATTACAGACTCGAACCGTCACAGTCTGGTGTAGAAATGTATATATAATTAAGCAGCTGTTCGCTATTTAACCTGTACTAGTATTACAATCATTATCATCATTATTGTTGCCACGATGTTAGCGTTGTAAATGATACAGCATAATGATTGCTCCATGCAAGTTAACCTTCACATTTTTGTCTATTTTTTGTCTTAATTATTCATTTATTTATTTTTTCATTATTTATCTTCATTTATTTATTTTTTTCGATCTCTTTGGTAAAATTGAAGCCATGGTATCAGTGATACGAAGTTAAAATGGCCGTTTCGTATCGTGGATACGCAATTGTGCTATTAAAATGGCCGTTTCGCAATAAATTTTTCCATTTTTTCAGTAAAAAATCATTGTATTTATTTAATAATTATTCTTTGCCAAAAAATTATATATTATTTATGTGTATTTGGTAGATATTATGCACAGTTGTACAGTTGATAGTTGAATAAATCGGTGCGTAAATATGAGTCATTCTTGACTCACTTGTAAGCCAGGACATGTTCAATAAAAGTGATATGATGTTTCGGTTTTTTATTCACCCTGGTTGAGTCACCGTGACCCACTTATTACCATGGGTGTTCTAGAACGTTTCTGAACTTTACCCAAAATTATTTTTTGATATTTTAATAAAAAATTGAATTTCGTTGAATGCAGAAACTTAACTTATAGCCATGTTTGCTACACGTAGGCAAATGAGTGGAATTTTTTGTCCAAATAGTTGAAACTTTTTTATCCACCGTGCGACCGATATACTTTTTTGTTGTCAAGCTAATCTGAATCAAGAAACACTAAAGGATAAGAACTGCGTTGAATTTAGGACAAAGTCCCGCCTATTTCTTTGAGTGCATAGTGTCTGTAATGTTGAGCACGACATAATGAATAGTTCCTTTATCATTAGTGTTAGGAACTATGTAGTGTTGGCGAAATATCGATTATTAGTTAATACGAAAGTAAACCTCTTCTAATACGTTAGTTCTAATATTCGTCTAATTATTAAATAACCCTCGGTTATATCCTTTAAAAATAGGGCGCCAGACGTACGAACACACAAACACACTTGTGAATATTTACATTAGAAAACGAAGTATATAAAATTAATTACTAATAAACCTAAATTCTATGAAATATATTATACATAAACAACGCCTTCAATATTCATCACCGTTGATATATAAAGGATTCAATCATCACAAAGATTGTTGTAGTGTTAAGCCCGGTCCACACGCTCAGTTTTACACAACGATTTGTCTGCGCAGTTCTAATCGTTGCAGACAAAACGTTGCGTGTGGACGGGAAAACTGCGCAGTTTTGGAGCCGGCGGGAAAACTGCGCAGTTCCATCGAAATCTGAGCTACCGAGCATAGATTTCGATGAACTGCGCAGACAAGTCGGAACGTGTGGACGGTAGCACAGTTTTTCGATTCGATTTGTGCTCAGTTTCAATGATTCTGGCGACCATGGCGGACCTTCGGTAATGTTCTCGGGAATTTATTGCTTTTCTATACGAAAGTTTTTCTTGCATTTGGCAAGTAAAATTCAAGGACTATAGTAACAGTGGCAAAAAAGGTGGAGACATACGAGGGCTTAGTAGAAAAATTCAAAGAAATCGATGAAAGCGCAAACATAGAAACAGCTGTAAAATAAGTTGAGCATTTACTGTAAATAATTGGGAATGAATAAAAAAATCGATTCTCACGTCGTGTAAGCTAAATATCGATTATTAATTAATACGAAAGTAGACCCCTGGTAATTCTAATATTCGTTAAATTATTAAATAATCATCGGTTATATCATTTAAAAATACAGCGTCAGACGTACGAACACACAAATACACTTGTGAATATTTATAATAGATAACGAAGTACATAAAATTAATAACACATAAACCAAATTCTATGAAGTATACATAATCAATGCCTTCAATATTCATCACCGTTGATATATAAAGGATTCAATCCTCACAAAGATTGCTGTAGTATGAGGCTGTGAGCGTTTATTGCTGTAGAAATTTGGCTTTCAAAACCAGTTGGCGCTCAGCGCTCGTCGGAGGAGGTGTGTGTGTGTCTTGCTCCGCTCCCGCGGCGAGGAGAAAGCTATTTAAAAGTAAGCAATTATTATATTATATAAACATTAATGCTAGCTTTAAGATAAACATATTTTATTATATACTTTTATAACATAGGCAATATATTGATGCTAACCGTACGATAGATATTTTTGTATATAAGTTTATAATAGTTAAAGGCACAATGAATATAACGAAGTTAGATATTTTTTTACAGTAAGGCAGTCGTAAGTGGTGCGGTGGTCGTAAGTGGTGCGGTGGTCGTAAGTGGTGCGGTGGTCGTAAGTGGTGCGG